CACACACATACATATATATTTTCTTCTTGTTACTTTCTTCTTAAAGACATTTCATCATTTATTCATTCATGACACTGGAAATGGGCATATCTGGTGGAAGAATGGAAGGCAAGTTGCCTATTTCACATCTACTTTTTCTTTCATTTTAGCATTTTTTTAAAGGTGAACTTCACCCAAACACTGGAAGAATCACGGTTCCTGCCTGGGGTACACCAGCTAGATTGTGGCTATTTCCAAGAGAAGAAGAGGTGGACAGGCTTCCCACCTGTAAATATATAAGAGACGGGGGTGGGGCAAGAGAAATGGATTTGGGGGCAGCTCCACATCCCACACTCACACTCCCTCTTTTAGAGGTTTTGTTTTCAGTTTTGATTGTGGGATTGGACTATAAATAGAGCTTGGCCTGGGAAATTTTCCTCGGGCAACACTGTATGTCTTCTAAAACAGTCTGACCCATGGCCGCAGAGACAAGCAGTATAAGAATCTGAAGAAGGATGCAGGCATTCCAACACTCTTGGAAGTTTGGTACTTTGGCGCCTACTTTCTCAGTCTGAGTTCTTTTATTTTTGGGTGGGGGAGGCAGGAGCCACGAGCTGTTCACTGGTGGGTTTCACAAGGCAGGAGTGAAAGAAAGTAGTCTGGGAAGGAAGTGGTATGCTGGGAGGTACTTAACAACGGGCTCTGGAAGGAAGAGGAAATCCTGGTTTGTCAGTGTTGCCCATTTCTCTGGTGTAAATACTCCCACTGTGGCTGATGTCAAGGCATCAGGCTGAGGTCCCTGAACTTAGGAAGAGACACTTATGGTCTGTGCTCACTACCCAGGACAAGCTGGCTCCAGGCCCCCTGGGCGAGAAGCAAGGTCAGGAGGAGGGGCACGATGCAAAGACAGACTAGGTGGCATCAGGTGATGCAAAGTCAGGAGAAATCATGAGCGGCACCCTGAGATCACTAGAGACCCCAAAGATGGCTTATGCATCATCTCTCCTGGGTCTGAGTCATGCTGGGACATTAGACCCAGAATCCACTGTGGGAAACAATATCTAAACAGAGAAGGACAACATATATTGACATATGGGATGAATGCCAATCCCCCGATCCAGGCAAAAATTTGCCAGGGATGGGCAGGTAGGAGATGGCATTGTGCTCTGGATCTGTGTAAATGCTGGGACCAGGATGCAGTGTCCATTAGGCATTTTGCAGAGGCATTTCCCCACACTCTTTGCTGGAGGCTGGGGCCTCAGGTGTGAGTAGAGTCTCTCCCTGCCTCACCAAGTTCTCCATTCACAGAGGAGGGTGTGTCTTATGCAAATGATTCAGAGGCAGTAATAGAATCTGGGGGGGGGGGGCGGCGCGCGGGCACAGACACAGGCCAACGGGAGTAAGACTTTAAGAGACACCCCGCCCCTGCAACTTCTTGGGGTCTTCTAAGAGTTTTCTAGGAGCTGGACAAAGGAAGGAGTCAAATCTTTCAGGAGATTCCAGGTTCCTTCTCCTGGGCCAGTCTCCTGAAGGCTGGTTCTTCAGCTGTCCCTTGGGGATTCCTAAAGCCAGGAAGAGTGTCAAAGGAAGTGGGGACAGAACAAGAGGTCTCCCTCATTCTATGTCAGGTCCTCTGTCCTCCCCTTGCCCACTCACTGGAGCTCCAGGTCTCCCTTCGATGGCCACCTGTGGAGTGAAAATGATTAAAATGTTGGATCCTGCTTAAAGTCTGGGTGATTTTTTGTTGTTGTTTCCGTGGAGGGGCATGGAGGTAAAAACAGGGGTTGCTCTGTCCCCTTCCTTTCTCCCCCACCTTCTGTCTCTGGGGGCACGGGTGTTTTTCCATGTGGTTTCTCTGTCTGCTCACTGTCTTTTCTGTGACATCTCTATAAAGCCAATTAAGCAGGAATATGGGCTCCAGACGGCCAGCTTCCACCTGCTATGACCGCTTGCTGCAAGGGGGTGGTGACCATGCTTCCTGCCTCAGTGGGCCACATGAGGATTAAAGTAGCTTGGGAAGGGAGTGGTGTGCTGGGAGGTGCTTAGCAATTGGCGCTCGCTCGAAGGAAGAGGAATTCTTGGAGGCCTCCCCATCAGGCTCCAATGCTCTGTGGCTTCATCACACACCTCCCCCTTCCCCCTTCCATCCTTTCCGCCTTCCCTTCCATCTCTTCTCCCATTCTGGTCCCTTTCAGTTTCCCACCATTTCTCTCCTGTCTCTTGTGTTTTCTCTCTCTTTTTTCCCCACTCCCCTTTTTCCTTCTTGACTGTCAAATCTCAGACTCCAAGGTCCACATTTCTTTTTGCTGGTTTTTAACTTTTTCTTTCTTTCCTCTTCTTCTCTTATCCTTTGTCTTTCTGTTTCTCCAATGCCAGGTCATCAATGTCTGCTAATGTCCCTCTTGTTCGCTGGATCCTGGGTTAAAACATGTGTGTGTGTGTTTAACACAGAGCTGATGAGGTCAGATAGACTTGCTGTTTGAGCCTGGCTCAGCCACATCTGGTCCTATGACCTTGGGCAATCCATTTCTCCCAATTTTCAGTTTCCCCCTCAGTAACATGAGACATTGAGAAGACCCACCTAGAGAATTAAATGACATCAGTATGTTAAGTATTTGGCCCTGAGGTCTGGTCCATGGTAAGAGCCCAATAAGTGTTTATTTGTATAGTAAAATGCACATCACATAAAAGTGACCATTATTATCATTTTAAAGTGTGCAACTCAACTGTATTAAATATATTCACAGAAGAAACAAGAAATAAAAGGCTCCATATCAAATGAATCCCTTTATGTGAAATGTCCAGAAGAGGCAAATCCATGGAGATGGAAAACAGATTCGTGTTTGCTGGGGGGAGGGGAAGTTGGGGAGGAACTGCTTAATGGGTGAGAGAGTTTCTCTTTGCGGTGATGAAAAAGTTCTGGAATTAGATAGGATCCAGCAATTCCATTCCTTAGTCTATTGTGAAAGTTGTTCAGTCATATCCGACTCTTTGTAACCCCATGGACTGTAGCCCACCAGGCTCCTCTGTCCGTGGGATTCTCCAGGCCAGAATACTGGAATGGGTATCAGTTCCCTTCTCCAGGGGATCTTTCTGACCCAGGGATCGAACCCAGGGATCGAACCCAGGTCTCCTGCATGGCAGGTGGATTCTTTACGAGCTGAGCCACCAAGAATTGAAAACAGGTGTTCAAAAAGGTGTACTCTTGTGTTCACAGTGGCGCTATTCACAATAACCAAAAAGATGGGAACAGTCTGATATCTACATAGCTGCTTTATCCATAATGGCCTTGAACTGGAAACAGTCCAAATGTTCATCAATAGGTGAATGGCTAAAAGAAGCTGGTGAATCTAGAGAGTGTCTTTAGCAATAGAACAGAATGAACTCCTGATGTACAGAACAACTGAATGAATAACACAATAATGAGTGGAAGAAGCCAGGTTCTAAGCAGTGTATATAGTATGAGTCCACTTCCATGAAATTCTAGAAAAGATAAAACCAGTTGGCAGAAGGTGATTACTGATTAGCAGGAGCTGGGGAATCAATAGATCAGATTCTCCGCAAAGGGACAAAAGGAAAAAAATTTAAAGAAAAAATTTTTTTTTTGCCACACCATTCGGCATGTGGGATCTTAGTTCTCCGACCAGGGATTGAACTGGTATCACCTGCCTCAGAAACATGGAGCCTTAACCAATGGCTCACCAGGGAAGTCCCCCAAAGGGGCTCTTTTTTGAGGTGCTAGAAATATCTTGTATCTTGACTATGGTTGTATTTCCATGACTGTATATGATTGCCCAAACTCATCAAACTGCATGGTTAAAATGGGTGGAATTTATAGTACATGAATTATACCCCAATAAATTGGAAGGGAAAGGAAAGAAAAACTTACTCAGCAGGTACTATTTGCCAGTACTGGAGAAAGTTAGTCCTAACTCTTCAAATTCTCAAAGCAATCTACCAGAGAGATGCTATAATTATCAGATAGATGCTATGATCATCTTCACTTCACAAATGAGCAAACCGAGGCAGAGGCAGGTCAGGTGACCTGCCCAAGGTCCCACAACCAGGAAGAGATAAGAACTGAGATGTACAGTCCTCGTGCTGGAAGGCAGACCCTCCAGGCCCTCCTGGCATTTCCCCCCTCCTCCCCATTTTTGACCCTGCCTCTCCTCCTTGCTTCTCTCCCGCCTGTCTCTTTCTTCTTTGCTCTCAAGCTCAAGTGTTACTCCCCTCTTTGTCTCTCTCCTGACCCCCATGTGTCTCCAACCCACCTCCTGCTTCTCCTGATCTCTGAGCCCCTCCCTGGCTGCTTCCTCTGTCCCTGACCAGGACTAATTTAGCAAATGCTCCAATCCTCTTATGATGGCCCAGCCTCAGCAGAATGGCAGGGGAATTAGCGGGGATTAGGTTCAGACCCATGACCCACTGTGGGGAGGGGACTTCGTGGAGACAAGTGAGTTTTAACTAAGGCATGGCCTCATCCACCCTCGTCCCTTCCATGTGAAACCATGCCTGGGACACACAATAGTAATAAAATCACAGCTGAATTCTTTTTTGGTTGTGCCGGGTCTTCATTGCCGCCAGAGGGGGCTACCCTCTCATTGCGATTCGAGGGCTTCTCATTGCAGTGACTGCTCTTGTTGTAGAGCATGGGCTGTAGGTGCACCGTCTCAGGAGTTGTGGCCCACGGGCTTAGTTGCCCCATGGCACATGGAATCTTCCTGGACCAGGGATCGAACCCATGTCCCCTGCACTGGCAGGCGGATTCTTATCCACTGTACCACCAAGAAAGTCCACAGCTAAATTTGTTACGAAGGGCTTACAGTGTGGCAGGCACTTCTGTATTTCTCCCTTATTAAATCTTCATTACAACCTCATGAGGTTGGGGCCACCCCCATCTCCCCTATTTGATGGATCAGGAGGGGTTAAGTAACTTTCCCAAAGTGATGGGGTCCTGTCCCAGCCATCCTGGTAGTTTCAAGTTATAGGTGAAAAAACAGAGTCTGGGAGATAAGAATAGGATGGCCCTGGGGCTGCAGAATGTGCAAATGAACCCTCTGTTTGGTGACTTCAAAGGTGACCCTTTCAGCACCTGCCCCCCACCCCCAGTTTGGAGGAGGTGAAGGAGAGGGAAAGAGGTCAAGAGAGGGTGGAAACCAAGCAGAAAATGCAGAACAGAAAGCAGAGCGGAGGAGGAGATTAGGTAGGGAAAGAAAAGACAGATGTCAGGAGGGGAGTTTGTACAAGGTCTTATTTCTTCTTTAAGTATGTGACAGAATTCAACAGGGAAGCATATGGGCCTGGAGGAGGCTTTTTTTCTTCTTTTAAGGAAGGTTAATTTTGTATTTCATTTAGTTAACACATATGTAATTGTATCCGTGGACCCAACTGGGAGGAAAGAAGGTACAAGATAGAGTTTGTCAGGGCAGAGGACGGGATAAGCAGAGCTGAGACCCTGGTTAGTAGTTACAAGCCACTGAGACTTCCCTGGTGGTCCAGTGGTCATGACCCCTCTCTCCCAACGCAGATCCCTCATGCCACACAGAGCAGCCAAATATAAAACATTTAGAATAGTGCATAAGTGCCACAAATAAGAAAAATGTGGTTGGATTTCTCTGTTTCTCTCTCTTCCTTCCTCTCATTTTTTAAAGCAAAATTATTTATATTATTTTTTGGCTGGGTTGGATCTTCATTTCTGCTAGCAGGCTTTCTCTATCTAGGGTGAGCGAGCGGGAGCTGCTCTCTAGTTGCGGTGCGCTGGCCTCTCATTGTGGGGCTTCTCTTGTTGCAGGGCCCGGGCTCTAGGGTGTGCAGGCTCAGCAGTTGCGATGCACCGGCTTTAGTTGCATGTGGAATCTTCCCAGACCAGGGATCAAACCCGTGTCCCCTGCAGGTGGATTCTTAACCATCAGAGAAGTCCCTCCCTTTCTCTTATAGATATTAATGTTTTTGTGTTTGTCTCTGCTTCTCGTATCAGTTTGTCTTCCTATCTCTATAACTCTCACTTTCCCTTTCTCTGTTTTCTGGGAACAATTTTAGGGCTTCTCCAAGGCTGGCACAATCTGGTGCTGGCTTACCCTTCTACCCTCCTCTTTCTGCCTTGCTGGCCCCTTCTTGCCACTAAAACAAACCAAGCTCTGGGACTGAGGCCAGGGCCAGGGACCAGGGTGGGCCAGATGGGCTGTCTCTTACAGTGTGTGCGTGCTAAGTTGCTTCAGTCGTGTCTGACTCTGTGGGACACTGTGGACTGTAGCCCGCCAGGTTCCTCTGTCCGTGGGATTCTCCGGGCAAGAATACAGGAGTGGGTTGCCATTCCCTTCTCCAGGGGATCCAGGAGACCTGGGTCTCCCACATGCAGGCAGATTCTTTACCATCTGCACCACCAGGGAAGTCCCTGATGGTCCTTTCAAACAGCCTCTTACTGAGATGCCCCTAATGTTCCCATGATGTGTTCTCCCTCATTGCAATGAGACAGTTGTTTGGTTGTTGGCTGTTTACTCACTAAGTCCTGTCCAACTTTTTTGTGACCCCGTGGACTGTAGTCCACTAGGCTCTTTTGTCTGTGGGATTCTCCAGGCAAGAATACTGGAGTGGGTTGCCATTTCCTCCTCCAGGGAATCTTCCCAACCCAGGGGTTGTATCTGCATCTCCTGCTTGGCAGGTGGATTCTTTACCATTGAGCCACCCGAGAAACCCAATGAGACAATCAATTTGCACAAACAGTGGGGCTTTCTGACGGTCTGTCGCTGAGGTTATTGACAGCAATCACCAAGTCTGTCTCAATAACCAACCTACTCTCCCCAAACATGGGAAAGCCAGATTCCCCATCCCTTCAGCTACCTGTCCCCAGCATGAAGTCTCTTCTCAGTCTTTGCTCATCTAAACATCACAGTGTTCCATTTAATTTCCTTTCAAAGGTAGGGAGCCCATGATGGGGGGAGGGTGGGTGAGGGAAGAATTGGGAGTTTGAGATTAGTAGATGCCAACTATTATAGATAGAATGCAAAAACAGCAAAGTCTTACTGTATAGCACAGGGAACTATATTCAGAATCCTGTGATAAGCCAGAATGGAAAATGATATGAAAAATAATGTCTATATATGCATAACTGTTTTGAGTAAACTCCGGGAGTTGGTGATGGACAGGGAGGCCTGACGTGCTGCAGTCCATGGGGTCGCAAAGAGTCGGACACAACTGAGCGACTGAACTGAACTGAACTGATGAATAACTGAATCACTGTCAGTATAGCAGAAATTAACATGGCATTTTGAATCAAATACACTTCAATACAATTTTTAAAAACTAGAGAGAAGGCAGCCTAGAGTCACATCTTATAGACCAAGGACGTTACTAGGTTCTCCCTTGTCGACAGCAGCGTCATCAACTGTCTTGGTGACCAAGCGTTCCCAGCTGCTCCAGAAGCAGAAAAGATCTTCGGTTATGGCAGAAGGTTGCCAAACAGGGAGCGGAGTACAATGTCCACTGATGGCAGGTTGCCCCATGAGCATCAGACAGTGATGGAAATCGAAGAACAAGATCTCTTTGCTTTGTTTCATGTCATACTTGATCACTTAATTAGTTGTCATCTTGCACTGATGATAATAAAAGTCCCAGGGGATGAGCACTGTGAGCTGTGTTCTCCCCTGCCCTCAGTCCCAGGAGACCTCTGCCCCAAGTTCAGTATGATGCTTAGACCCCAAAGATAGGCTCCTAAGACCCAAGCTCCAACAGACAAACCAGATCCAGTTCATTCATCCACAGAGGGCAGGAGCCAAGCTATCTTGTCAAAAAAGTGTATGTATTTATTTGGCTGCCCCAGGTCTTAGTTATAGCACGGGGGATCTTCTGTCTTTGCTGTGGCATGGGGGACTAGTTCCCTGACCAGGGATCGAACCTGGGCCCCCTGCACTGGACGCACAGAGTCTTAGCAGCAGGCCACCAGGGAAGTTCCCCCAAGGTGTCTTAATATGGAGGGCTCTTGGTGGCTTCCAGCACAGGACCCACTAATTGCTTGGTCCCTAAGTCGTGTCTGACTCTTTGCGACTCCATGGGCTGCAGCACACCAGGCTTCCCTATCCTTCACTGTCTCCTGGAGTTTGCTCAGACTCGTGTCCATTGATTTGATGATGCCATCCAACCATCTCATCCTCTGTTGCCCTCTTCTCCTCCTGCCTTCAATCTTTCCCAGCATCAGGGTCTTTTCCAATGAGTCAGCTCTTCGCATCCACCAAAGTAGTGGAGCTTCAGCTTCAGCATCAGTCCTTTCCAATGAACATTCAGGGCTGATTTCCTTTAGGATTGACTGGTTTGATCTCTTTGCTGTCTAAGGGACTCTCAAGAGTCTTCTCCAGCACAATTCGAAAGCATCAGTTCTTCAGTGCTCAGCCTTCTTTATGGTCTAACTCTCACATCCGTATATGACTACTGGAAAAACCATAGCTTTGACTAGATGCACCTTTGTTGGCAAAGTGATGGCTCTGCTTTCTAATATGCTGTCTAGGTTTGTCATAGCTTTCTTTGCGAGGAGCAAGGGTGTTTTAATTTCATGGCTGCAGTCACCTTCTAGCGTGATTTTGGAGCCCAAGAAAATAAAGTCTGTCACTGTTTCCACTGTTTCCCCATTTGTTTGTCATGAAGTGATAAGACCGGATGCCACAATCTTAGTTTTTTGAATGTTGAATTTTAAGCTAGCTTTTATTATTGCACCCACTAGTAGTTGCTCAATAATAAAAGGATTAACCAATTATCGATCACTCTCTTGCCAGGCTGAGGGTGGGGCAAGAGAGGGTGGGTTTCAGGACTCTCAGGGTGTGCCTAAGGTGGGCACAGCATAATACCGGGATGTCTGGCCCAGGCCTGTGAGCAGAGCCTCAAGCTCCCACAGCACAACAGCAGGAGGATGCAAGAACCCGAGTCCATCATGAGTGAGTCTGGCCCCCTGGGACTTGGTGGAGTTCGGAGGTGGAATCACATTCCTGGGGGAGAGGAGCAGAGAGCCTGGCCCTCGGGGGTCCCCTGTCAGGGTGGCTCCCACCTTGGATGGGAGATAGTGGGGGGTTGGGGAGGCCACCAAGGGTCACCAGGGAGCCTGTCCTGCCTGCCTCCCCAGGCCAGGGCCCTGGAATACTCCACGGGCTGAGGTCAAGCCCATTTCCAAGCTGTGCTCACTGCGGCCCAGAGAGGTGCAGGGGTTAGGGCTGGAGGGCGGACAGCCAGGGTCTGCGGAGCACCCTCACTCCGGATGCCCCAGGCTTCTCCTCCCGCCCTCGGGCCTGAGTCCCACCCGCTCACCTGGGGCTGGTCCAGGGAGGGGGAGGGTGCCAGGCGGGCTGGGGGCTGTTCCTGGGCTCATGGGACCCTGTTTGCCCCGAGCTCAGGCCCCACGGGGAGATCAGCGCCCCCAAAGAGAAAGCGGCGGGAGCGTACCGTGTACAGCAAAGAGCAGTCGGAGGCGCTCAAAGAAGCCCTCCTGAGGACCGAGTACCCGAGCTACCGGGACCGCCTGCGCCTGGCGGCCAGGCTGCACCTGGACGAACACAGAGTGCAGGTCCGAGCCCCCCGCCCCGGCCTCCCCTCCTCCGGCCCGCGGCCGCGGTGGGGACCGCGAGGCCAGAGCGGCCAGGACTGCCCGGGTCCCGCAGCAAGCAAGGGGTCTCCCCGCTGTGGACCCAGGGCTGGGCCCCGGTCCCCCTCAACCCTGGGCTGGATCACCCCGCCAACCGCATCCGGCCTGCCTGACGCCCCCATCGCCCCGGGGTGTCCCAGCGCCCAGCCCTCAGGGCCTCTGACCCCGCGGACCCTCTCGGGCAGACCCCTTCCTGCCCCGCGGGGGCCCCAGCCCTGCCCCCTGCCCTCCGCGCCCCTTCCCGCTGCCTCCTGAACCCCAGGAGCCTTTAATTGGGTCTGGGGGGCGAAGGGAGAGGGGAGGCGGATTCTCTGCAGGACAGCCTCACCCCCCGCCCCCTACCATCAGAGATGATAGCGCGGGCCCCTGGCCTCTCACACCCCCTCCTCCCGGTCCCCTCCCCCCCCCCCCCAGGTGTGGTTCAAGAACCGCCGGGCCTAGTGCTCCCGTCTGGAACGACGACAGGCCGAGGGCGGATACCGGAGGGCCAGCGATGTGCCCAGGGACCCCGGAGCCCCCTGGACCCCCGCCCCCGCCCTGGAATCTGCTACCGCAGCTGCAAGCCCCAGTTTCCCAGGCGGCCCGGGATTCTACAGCCGCCCTCCTCCCCCCAGCCCCGCGGGGGTGCTCCCAGGGCCCGAGCCGGGTGTCTCCAGCCACCAACCGGCCGCGTGGGTCCCCGCACAGGGCGTCCACGTGTACCGCCCGGCTGCTCCAACCCCGGCTCCGGCCCTTGCCCCGGGCTGGCCTCAGGACCCCTACGCGCCGAACTACCGCCCAGATCCTCTTCCGGTTCTGCTTCCTGACTGTGCCCTGATGTTCTCATCCCAGGAGCTCTCCTCCCCGACGTCTGGGTACCAAACCGGGGATAGCTTTGGGGATGACCACGACACAGGCCCCCGGCAGTTCACGAATTCATAGGGTCGTGGTCATCTTCCCCAAAAGTCCTGCAGTCCCCGAGGGGCTAGAGGGGATGAGGGCCTTGTGAGTCTGCACGTGGTGCCCATGGGGAAGGTGTGATGGCTTGGTCTTCACAGCTGGTTTCCTGTCCGCAGAGGGACTGTACCCCCCTTGATCCAGCCTGAGGAGGGGGCGTTTTTTTGCGTGTCACTATGAGGTCATCTCAGGTCTCGAAGCTCTGACTGTCCCCGCCGTCATTAGTATTTGAGGCGCACGTGGATATTTCTATGGATTTCTAAGTCAGAGGTTCACAGCGTCTGTTTCACTGTTGTGGGAACTTGCTATAGGATTTTCACCAGCCTCATAGGGAATTTAATTAAAATTGCCTTAAATCTTTACATTCCCTTGATGTCTAGAGATTTTTGTTTTTGCTTGTCTCTATCCTTACTAATGGAGAAGGTAATGGCAACCCACTCCAGTGCTCTTGCCTGGAAGATCCCATGGATGGAGGAGACTGGTGGACTGCAGTCCAGGGGGTCGCAAAGAGTCGGACATGACTGAGCGACTTCACTTCACTATTCTTACCTGTAGTTTCAAATATTTGCAGATAAAAAAGGGGGGCATTAAATCCATAAATAGTTTTGGAGCTAATTGGCATCTTTACAATACTGAGCCTTCCAATCTAGGTAAATTACTTATTAATCATTCATTTGGTTGTTTACAAAAATTCTTTGGTAAGTGTTATTATTTCTGTAGGTTTATTTCTAGTGCTTTGTCTTGTGATTACCTGATATTTTAGATGAATTTAAATTTTTATTTTAAAATCTGTGTTCTGCCTAGATGTCCATCAGCAGACGAATGGATAAGAAAGCTGTGGTATATAGACACAATGGAATATTACTCAGCTGTTAAAAAGAATGCATTTGAATCAGTTCTAATGAGGTGGATGGAACTGGAGCCTATTATACAGAGTGAAGGAAGTCAGAAAGAAAAACACCAGTACAGTATATTAATGCATATATATGGAATTTAGAAAGATGGTAATGATGACCCTATATGCGAGACAACAAAAGAGACACAGATGTAAAGAACAGACTGTTAGACTCTGTGGCAGAAGGCGAGGGTGGGGTGATCTGAGAGAATAGCAGTGAAACATGTATATTAACATATGTGAAATAGATTGCCAGTCCAGGTTCGATGCATGAGGCAGGTGCTCAGGGCTGGTGCACTGGGATGACCCTGAGGGATGGGATGGGGAGGGAGGTGAGAGGGGGGATCAGGATGGGGAACACAGGTACAACCATGGCTGATTCATGTGAATGTATGGCAAAACCACCACCATATTGTAAAGTAATTAGCCTCCAATTAAAATAAAATAAAAAAATCTGTGTTCAGTATATAAGAGTGTGTGGATAGATTTATTTTGTATTTAGGGACCTGGCTCAATTAAAAAAAAATTTGTAACAACTTATCTGAATGTTGTCTTGGGCTTGATAATTTGAAAATTCGTAACATTCATGGTCATCTTGTAAGCACTGTTTCCTACAGAGCTAGGGAGTGTTTGTTATCCCCTTTTTGGTTTTATGAAACAGCTGTAGGAATCTCATCTCTTCTCTCTACTCCTCTTGTCTCTCCATCAACCTCTTCCTTTGACCGCCTCCCTGAGGCAGCCCTGCCTCCTGAGGTCCCCCCACAGTCGGTCCTCTGACCCTGGCCTGGTCCCATTTAGCAAATGCTCCAATCCTCTTAAGGCCAGGCCGGCCTCAGCAGAGCAGAGAGAGAATTAGACCAGATTTGGGAGGGGGATGCTCATGTGACAGGCTCTGGGGGGAAGTGTCGGGGGACGGGGGAGGGGGAGACAGAATGCCAGGGTATAATGAGAACTCTCTTGATTATACAACAGGCCCTGGTGGGGAAGTACATACACCACTCCCTGGAACACCACCCCACTCAAACCCTGACATTGTAGGGGAGGGCAGGGAGGAGTCTAGTCTTCTGTTTATTCCAGGAGAAGGAGCCCAGGTGGGGAAAGTCCCTGTGAGTGTTCGGGGACAGAAGAGGGGGTAAGATTCAGGTAAGATTCAGACTCACTCTGGGCATGGGGGAGGGAGGGTGGTGCTCCTAGGGATTCCCCCACCCCCTTCTGAATCCAGGAATCTTTGCTACCCCCTTGCAAGCTCTCCTGGACTCTATTCCTCCTCCCTCCACAATCTCAGGCTGTGTCTTCACCATCCACGATGATGGAAGCATCTGGAATTCCCATTCAGCTCAGAAAGAAGAGAGGTGGTAACTTCCGGTTGGCAGGTCTTGAAAATTTCCCACACGACTGAGCAACTGAACAGCAACAAGAGTCTCTAGCACAGCTCCACCCACCAGGGGGCCAGGCAGGAGCAAGAAGGCTGCAGGCCTGAGTCTGCAGAACAGGCTCAGCCACCAGCAGGTCACATCTTTCCCTGGGGACTGGCTGGGCCCAGGTCCTACCTACCAGCAGGTCAACACAACATCGAGACACCCTGGGCCCTGCAGCTAACTGTGACAAAGCTGACCGCACCCACCAGTGGCCCTACACCTGCTCTGCGACCCCTGGGCCCTGCCACCAGAACCCAGGACCCAGCTCTGCCTGCCAGCAGGCTAACCCTAGTCTGGGGACCTGGCTTCACCCACAGTGAAATAGTGGAAGTCTCAGTCACTCAGTCATGTCTTTCCCACCCCATGGACTGTAGCCCACCAGGCTCCTCTGTCCATGGAATTCTCTAGGCAAGCATACTGAAGCAGGTTGCCATTTCCTTCTCCAGGGGATCTTCCGTACCCAGGGATTGAACCCAGGTCTCCTACACTGCAGGCAGACTCTTTACCATCTGAGCCACCAGGGAAGCCCCACAGTGAAATGAAAGGAATCTAAATGGAAAGAAAGAAGTAAAACTGTCAGTGTTTGCAGAAGACAGGATTCTGTACAAAGAAAATCTTAAAAGTGCCAGTAAAAACCTACTGGAACTCATGAATGAGTTTGGTGAAGCTGAAGGATACAAAATTAATATACAGAAATCTGTTGTATTTCTATACACTAACAACAAACTACCAGAAAGAGAAATTAAGCCAACAATTCCATTTATAGTTGTAGCAAAAGAATAAAATACTTGGGAATAAACGTACTCAAGGAGGTAAAAAGATCTGTACCGGACAACTTCCCTGGCTGTCTAGTGGTTGGGACTTGGTGCTTTCACTGCAGGTTTGATCCCGATGGGGGGATATAAGATCCTGCATGCTGCACAGTAAGGCCAAAAATTTAATAAAACAAAATAAAAAACTACTGGTTCTCAAACATTAGAAGAAAAGGATATATATTGAATTTTATTAAATGATTTTTCTGCATCAGTTGATAGACTTACGTGATTTTCTTACTTTAGTTTGTGGGTACGGTGAAGTATACTGATTGATTTAAAAATTTTTTTTTAACTAATTTAATCTTTTTTTTTTTTTTGGCTATGCTGGGTCTTCGTTGCTGCGTGGGCTTTTCTCTAGTTGCTGTGGGTGTCTTCTCACTGCGGTGGCTCTCAGGCCCGAGGGCTTCAGTGGTTGTGGCTCCTGGGCTCTGGGGCACAGGCTCAGTAGTTGTGGAGCATGGGCTTAGTTGCCCTGAGGCATGTGGGATCTTAGTTCCCAGATCAGGAATTGAACCTGTGTCCCCTGCATCAGCAGGCAAATTTTTAACTACTGGACCACTAGGGAAGTCCTCTAACAAAGTGTTAATTGCACAACCCAGTATTGTTAACTATAGGCACAACATTGTAGAGTAAGTCTCTAGAACATATTCTTGTATCTTGTATGACTAAGACAGCACCTGATGAGTGACACCTCCCCATGTCCCCTTCCCCCAGCCCTTGGCAACCACCATTCTGCTTTCTTTTTCTATGAATCTGTCTCTTTTATGTTCCTTATGTATGTGGAATCACACACTATTTGTTCTTCTGCCTGACTTATTTCACTAATATGAATGCCCTTCGAGTTCATCCATATTTCACAGAACATCTTTCTTCTTTAAGACTCAGTAATAATATCCCATTGTTTTTATATATCACATTTAAAAAATCCATTTATCTAACATTCTCCAATGTTAGGCCATATGTTAGGCTAAAGCCATGTTTTAAATCAGGAGAAATTGGCAGGGAAGATATCCAAACTAATCTGAGGGAGGATAGGTGATTAAATTATAAATCTCAATACCTAATAATGAATGAGTTATACAATCAACATGCAGAGACACCCAAACAGAAAATACTGAGTTGAAAAGCAAGTTGATGAGTGCATTATTCAGGACACCATTTTTCTAGGTTTAAAAATCCTCCCTAAATTCTATATATTGTTTATGGTCAAACACCACATAATAAGGGAATAATGCTAGGCTGGAAATGATATACTTCAAGGTCATCATAATAGTAAATTGTAGAGATACAGGTAATGGAAAGAGAAGACGCCTTATCTGCTTTGTAATTTTATTTCTCAGTTTTATTTAAAAATTGACATAACTGGGGAGTAATTGTTATATTATTTCTTTACCACTCTATAGGAATAAGATGAAACATGGTAAACGTTTTTAAAAAGTCGGGATGCCACAAAGTGAATTAGGGGGTACCCTGATAAAATTTAACAGTCAAGTTGTCAGATGCAGAGATTTGATCATTCAAAACACCATGATGAAATAACAGGTTTTATGCAATAACCCCCAGTCACTCACATGTATAAGGGCAGGAGAACAAATATCAATATCCATATAAGATCTGGAAGATTTAGAACATTATTCCCATGGGAACAGCTCTTGTGGAAGGTCTGCCATCTTCTCCTGGAATAGTTTATCAAAAATTTCAGCTTGGGCCACCGTGAAGTGATTTTTCCAGTCCCCAGTCACGCCTGGCAAAC